GGGGGGGAATTTTAATATTTATTTTTTAGTTCTCAGCGTACACAACATCTTTGTTTTTGTATGTGGTGCTGAGGATCGAACCCGGGATGCACTCATGCCAGGCAAGCGTGCTACCACTTGARCCACATCCCCAGCCCCTCAGCTTTAATTCTTTATGTTTTAGATTTTTATTTCTTAGTGGAAATTTAAGACAGATAGATAAAGGAGAAAACAAAAACTGCCCAGAGGTGACTCCTGAGAACATTTTAGTATGTCTTTCAAAGAGAGATCTATCTAGTGTGCCTCAAACAATATCTACTTAGTTGAACAAAGGAGTCTCTGAAATGTCAGTGMTCTACTTACTTACAGCAGGAAGTCAGGTCTTTTCCTGGCATGACTCTTCATGATTAATGTCAGCAGAAATCTCTAGCCATGAGAGCTTCTTATTTTGCTGCCTGAGGCCCTGAACTTCTTTTAGCTTTGGAGTCTGCTCCCCTTGCTGTCCTTCTGCATCACTGATCATCCTGTGCTGCTGCTGACTTTCTGAAGTACTCTAATGTTCTCCAAATGACTGGCATCCACAGGATTCATAGACCATGCCTGCCCATGTGCAGCTAAATTCCTATGGATTGTCATCTTTGTTCTCCCACTCTGTCCATTAGGGAATCCTATGATTTTTATGGCCGACTCTGAGAGAGAATTTCTGTAGCAGAAAAGTTTGGGTCTTGATGAGAGATTTTTCCTCTGTTTCATAGAATTGTGCTATGAAATTTATAGGTACTTCAGGGTGGATGAGTGCCTTGGTATTAGAGAGGGATGGTGTCAGGGGATATGAGATGTTAGGTGAAGTCTTTCATAGTCCCTGCATCTGGTGGAGATATACAGGAGTGATAGATTTCTTTCTTTTATTCCCCCCTGCCTTTTTTTTGTGGTACTGGGTATTGAACCCGAGGCCTTGTGCATACTAGTAAAGCACCCTAACACTGAGCTGCACTCCCAGCCTTTATTCCTCTGGAAAGGGAGCTACCTTATCTTTAAGAAGACAATTGCCCACACCTTCAAGGCAGATGTCCTCCATACTTGCTACTTAGCTGGGGGAAAAGGAGTTTTCTGCTTCCTGCCTCCTATGCCATATAGAGGGATGGCATTCCTTATTTTCCAGAGTGAAGGATATGAGTATAAACTCTTCAAGGGGAATTTCTGACAGTACAATGCAATTATGGAGTAGACCACTATAATTATTTGTTAATGTAGTCTTTTGAATCATTGTATACCATGTAAAGAATTAAGTTCTAAGAGGAAATTGAAAAAGTATGATGCATTATCATTAAGTTGCTTTTTCTCTGAAATATAGTTACTGTTTTTTTTAAAAATATATAGTCATAATTAGGATAGTCTTGTTAGAGAGACAAGAAATACATACTAGTAGAGATCAGCTGAGAAGTGAAAATAAGCACTATGGGAATTGTGAGGTTAGAGAGCATGTTGTCAGTCTTGTCTCCTTTCTGAAGCTGGGTWGTGGAAGGCTTGGCAATGGTCCTTGTGGGATGGGAATGGTTCAGACAGGTGGAGTAGATAAATGAGAGAATAGAATACCTGCCAGGTCTAGCATAAAGCAGAGGGGGATGTTGATGCAGTTGATCTATTCTGAGATACTCTGCAGTATGATTATGCACCTTTTCCACCTTACCTCAACACTGCCCTCCGTGGAAAGCCTCTCTAGCAGCAAAATACCAGTATCATCTCTGTTTACCTGCATCAAATAACAACTGGAGAAAGTATTTTGAATTTGTTATGTGGAAAATTGTTAGGAGTAGCTGCCTCTGAAGTCCTCTGCCTGTAACAGGTATGATGGAGAATGGGGGATCTTGTTGCCCACTCCTCCAGCTTAATGTGCTCCTCCACTTCTTCAGGACAGGTATCTTTCTTCCTGTACTTTGTTTCTTAGCTGAGGGAGAACAAGGACCACATTTAAGGTGGGGGGAGCTGGATATTTTATGTCTCCTACCCTTCAGTGGGTAGCCCTCCTTGTTTTCCAGAGAAGACTATCAGAGTGGTTTGTATAATATCTCGGAGTTCCTCAAAACAACACAGGGTTTTCTCTTAATGCCCTTTAGATATAATTTATATGATAATATTGTATAACTTAAGCTATAAGGGAAGGGAAATGATTTTATTTACTTACATCTTCATGTGTTGTGGGGCAGGTCACTCAGAAAGCACACCAAGTCCCAGTTTTGTCCAAATCGAAGAGTCTTTATTTAGCTGGCCAGCTGGTGACTGCTCTTTGTAGGACCCATAAATGCCTCTGCAAGGAACAGCCCCAAGCCTGAGCACTTTAGGATATTTAAAGGCAAAAATCACACCTGGGTTAACGTAACTACAAGCAAGCAGGTACAGAAGCTGAATTGGGCAGTTAGTGAGACAATGCAGTGGGTACATTGGTACTTCCTACTGGACTTTCCAGGTTGGCAAGCAGAAGGGAAGGGGGTCAAAATGACCCTAGTTGAGTACAAGTTAGAGAATGGTTACTAGCATGTAGACAATCTCTGACAAGGTACATTGCCCAAGAAAAATGGAAAGCAAAGAGAACAATTTTACATTGTATAAGAATTGCTATATTGTGTTTCCAAGTGTGTTATGCTAGGTAACTGTTAATGGGTACAGAGATGGGGCTTTCCCATGGAAGAAGCATTTCTTACATGATATGGAGTCTCAGGGTAAAATGGARTCTGTTTGGTCATTGCCCATATAGCCTGGCCCATAACACATATTTAACAATTATAAAATTTAAATTTGAAAATTTTTATTTTGCAGTTTCTGAGTTTGAATACATTCATTTTTGCTCTCTTAAAAGTTAAAACCTAAAAAGGTAGTAGGGCAAAGGTACAGCCTAGAGTTGGGATAGGAAATGGGGGGCGATTGTTGGTAATTGGAATATTACTGTGCTCTGGCTCTTTGCTCTCTTCTTGTGACTTTGGGCCTTAGATAAGGTTCAGGAAAAGGAAATCTGTTTTTTCTTTTACCTCCACTCCAGGATATTGCATTTGGTGATGTATTCTTTATTTCTTCTATTTGAAGGAGTTTGTTGAAGAAAAATGTGCTTCTTGAATCATCTGCAGTCTCTCCTCTACACAAAGAGCTCTTAAGGCTACTAACAGGATAGAAGCAAATTACATTGAGARCTCATTTGCAGCTCAGAAAAACAAAGACATGAGTTTTGAGGAGTGAAGGTATTATGATGTCGGCCATGGGTGATCAGGACACAGCCAGACAATGTGGACCAATTTCTTCAAACTGCGGATTTTTTGCTGTCTGCTTGCAGTGCTGATGGTGGTGGTGCTGGTCATCATTGTTACTGAGGTAGAGGTAAGTACCCACAACTAAAGCAGCCAGATCTGGGGACTAAKGATTAACTAGCCTGAGGCAGTACTGTCATCAGGAAACTTATCCCAAGTTACAATTCTTCCTTTCATTTATTCATTAAGTATTTGAGTGCCTCTGGTGGTCATATACTGTGATAGTCACTGAGGGTGCAGCAGTGAAGAATACAGAGATGATTTCATTACTTATGGAGTTCACATTCTGATTGTGCATGGGAGAAAATAATATGGGGTGAGTATCCCTTGTCTGAAATGTTTGGGACCAGAAAAATTTCAAATTTTGGAGGTTTTTGTTTTATTTTATGACAAAAAGAGCTTTATTTTAGCTCTGAGTTTTTTCAATTTTGCGTAACTATTGGTTGAGTGTCCCTAATCTGAAAATATGGAATCAGAAATGTTCAGAACTTAAACATTAAAAATGTTTTGGGGGAGGCTGGGGATATAGCTCAGTTAATGGAGTGCTTGCCTCGTATGCACAAGGCCGTAAGTTTTATCCCCAGCACCACCAAAATCAATCAATCAATCAATAAATAAAACTGTTTTGTAACACAGTGGTAGAGCGCTTGCCTAGCCCATGTAAGGCACTGGGTTCAATCCTCAGCACCACATAAAAATAAATAAATAAAAGTATTGCATCCAAGTGCAACTAAAAAAATTAAAATAAATGAACAAATAAATAAATAAATGTTTTGGATTTTGGGCGTTTCAGATTCAGATTTTTAGACTAGGGATGCTTACCTTGTAATAATAAGTAGTAATCTTAATCACATGGTATAGTAGTAATGTTAATTAGAGATTGTGAAAAGTGCTATAAAGGAGGAATTCCAAGGTAGCTTTAGGAGAGGAAGAAAAAGGTAGCTATCTTAAGCTGGATGTTTTGGTGCACACCTGTAGTCCCAGAGCTCAGGAGGCTGAGGCAGGAGGACCACAAGTTCAAAGCCAGCCTCTGCAACTTAGCAAGGCCCTAAGCAACTCAGTGGGACCCTGTCTCTAAATAAAATACAAAAAGTGCCCCTGAGTTCAATTTTTGGTACCAAAAAAAAAAAAAAAAAAGAATCTTTTAGTGATTCCTGGCAAAAAACTGAAGTAGTATGCAAGGGTAGGGAGTTGAAGAGTTTGTTTTGAAGAGTATTGTATGACACTGAAGAGCAGGGAGCATGTCTTACTGAACCCTCACAAGTGCTTTATGCTAAGAAGGTACTTGGTAATATTGATATATGAACTCATATGTCACCAAAATTTATGGACTAGTAAAAAGGATGCTGCCCTTTTAATTTTGTTAGTGGTGCTAATTCTGATTCAATTATAGCTTTTTTTTTCTTATTGGGTTTTATTAGCACAAGATGCAAGATGTATTTGAGTGCCTCTGGTGGTCATATACTGTGATAGTCACTGAGGGTGCAGTGAGGACCACAAGTTCAAAGCCAGCCTCTTACATTGTGTAACACACAGGCTTTTTCATTTCTCTGGCTGGAATTCACTTTGTGTTTTTTCAGCAGAACACCTAATCTTATTATGAAATGGGCCTGTAGAGTCCCTTTTTGTTTGTTTGTTTGTTTTCCCCCCTGTGAGCCATTAATAAAATTTGTTGGTATTTTGAAGAATGCGAAGTAATTCTGTTAAAGATTTCCTTTAGAAAAAAAAAAGCATGAAACCTACGTCACTTCCTTTTCTTTGCTTAAACTGTTCTTGCATGTTTTGCTGCAGGTAAGGCAGTGCCAATTCCATGTTGATAGTATCTTCTACCTGGAAGCTGTCAATGATATATCTAGATATTTAAGAAATTCCTGTTTGAGGAAAATATACATAACATAGAATTTGCCATTTTAACCATTTTCATTGTACAGTACAGCTCACATGTACAACTATTGTGGGGCAGGTCGCTCAGAAAATACATTAAGTCCCAGTTTTGTCCAAATTGAAGGGTCTTTATTTTGACCTGCCAGGACTGCTTCCTATAGGACCAAGTTGTCTGTGGAAAACAGCCCCGAGCCTGAGCATTTTAGGGTATTTAAAGGCAAAAACTGCAAAGAACACATCTGGGTTGATGTAGCTACAAGCAAGCAGATATTAGAAGCTGAACTGGACAGTTAATGAGACAATGTAATGGGTACATTGGTACTTTCCATAGGACTTTCCAGGCTGCCATAGCGGCAAGCAAGCAGAAGGGAAGGGGGTCAAAATGACCCTAGTTGAGTACAAGTTAGAGAATRGTTACTAACATGTAGACAATAAATCTCTGACAAGGTACATTGCCCAAGAAAAATGGGAACCAAAGAGAGAACAATTTTACATTCTGTAAGAATTGCTGTTTTATGTTGCCAAGTATGTTATGCTAGGTAACTATTAATGGGTACAGAGGTGGGGCTTTCCCATGGGAGAAGCATTTCTTACATGAGATGGAGTCTCAGGGTAAAATGGAGTCTGTTTGGTCATTACCCAAATAGCCTGGCCCATAACACAACTACTACCACCATCTATATCCAGAACTTTTTTATCTTACCAGACTTAAACTTGTATGCATTAAACAATAATTMCCCTTTCTTCCTCCCTTCAGCCATYGGCATCTACTGTTCTATATTCTGCCTCTGTATTTGATGACTTTAGGTATTGCATATAAATGAAATCATATAGTATTTATCTTTTTTAAATATTTATTTTTTAGTTTTTTAGGTGAACACAATATTTTTATCTTACATATGTGGTGCTAAGGATCAAACCCAGTGCCTTGTGCATGCTAGGCGAGCACTCTACCACTGAGCCACAACCTCAGTCCCAGTATTTGTCTTTTGCAACTGGCTTAGTTTTATTTTTGGCAGCATGATGCCCTCAGAGTTAATTTATGTTGTATTGTGGATCAGAAATTTCTTCCTAAGGCAAGTAATATTCCTCTGTACACACACGCACAGACATTCCTCTGTACATTCAAACATACACACACACACACACACACACACACACAGAGAGAGAGAGAGAGAGAGAGAGAGAGAGAGAGAGAAGCGTTATTTAGCCTTATAAAAGGACCCATGCTATAACATACATAACCCATTTTGACCCATGCTATAATATACATACATTCATGGGCATTTGGATTATTTCTACCTTTTGGTTATTATGAATAATGCTGCTATGAAGTTAGGTGTACATATCCAATTCTTTTGGATATGTACCCCCAACTACAAGTGCTGAATTGTGATAATTCTAATTTTTTTCCCCTGCACTACTCTGGATTAAACCCAGGACYTTGTACATGCCAGGCAAATGCTGTACTACTGAGCTACAGCCCCAGCTTATTTTATTTTTTATTTTGATACAGGGTCTTGCCAAGTTGTCCTTGTGATTCTCCTCCTTTAGCCTCCCAAGTAGCTGGGATTTACAGGCAGATACCACAATGCCCAGCAGTAATTCTAATTTTGGGTAGTAATCCTAATTACAAACCACCGGAAAGTTTTTCACAGCACCTGTGAAATTTTTCATTCTTACCAATACTGAACAAGTATTCCAGTTCTTTCACATCTTTGCCAATACTTAATATTTTCTTTCTTATTTTAATTTCCTTGTTATTGGGGATTGATTTTGGGAGTTTTACCACTGAGTTACATCCCCATGTTTTTAATTTTATTTATTTATTTGTTTATGTATTTATTTATTTGTTTTTTTTGGGTAATGAGGATTGAACTCAGAGGCACTTGACCACTGAGCCACGTCTCCAGCCCTATTTTGGATTTTTATTTAGAGACAGGGTCTCACTGAGTTTCTTAGCTCTTCATTTTTTTTTTTGCTGAGGCTGGCTTTGAACTCACATTTCTCCTGTATCAGCCTCCCAAGCYTCTGGAAGTGCAGGCGTGCCCCACCATGCCCAGCTGATATTTTTTATTTTGAGACACAATCTTGCTAAATTGCTGAGGCTGCCCTTAAATTTATGATCCTCCAGCCTCACCCTCCTGGGTTGCTGGGATTACAGGCATGAAACACTACACCAGGCTGATACTTAGGCATTTTGCAGAATCTGGTGTATCAGCGTAGTGTAGTTGAGGTTATAGCTATGCTTCTGCAACATGTTGGCTGTGTGACTTTGTAAAAGTCACTTAATTCTCCTGAGTCTGTTTCCTGATTTGCAATTATAAAATGTTCTCCATCTTCCCAGAAAGCTAAAAAGGCACAAAACACAAATGCTGTAGRTGTACATAGGAAAACATCAAATCATTTTCAGATGCTAATATTGTGATGCTCATACCTGAGACTCATCATCTGGAAATGACTTAAGGCCTTGGTTTCCTAGAATTCACCATAAAACTGTCATTCCAGAGTTCAGGAGGAGCAAGTGATCTTTTCTCTTTCTTTAAGCATGTGGTTGCTTCTGGTATTTCTCCTATTTTTTTGTTATTTTAAAAATTGACACATAATATTTATATATTTATAGAGCACCTTGTGATATGAGATTTTATTTGATGAGTTGAGGCTTATCTTTGTTTCTTTTTATGTAATTTCTTGTCTTTCCATGTGTTTTACAATTTTTTTCCTCTCTTGTTTTGAGCAACTTAATGTTGACTTGCCTTGGTGTATTGTTTTTAAGGTGTTGGGAATCAAACCTAAGGCCTCATGCATACTACACAAGTGCTGTACCTCTGAGCTGAACCCCAACCTGGTGTAGTTTTAATATTTCTTTTACTTGAGTTTCAGAAGTTCTTGGGTTTGTGTTTATGGTAAATTTGGTAAATATTTGGCCATTATTTTTCTAAGAGAGAAGTCTTTATTTTTCGTTTCACAAGAGAAGCTGGTTGAATTGGCTTCTTTTTGGTGATTACTCAGAGAGGACAAATCCCATATCTTTTCTCAACCCTTTAACTCTTTCTTTGCATCAAGTTGGWGGGGTGCAAATTTATTAGTAGTAGCAGCAGCAGCAGCATCGGAGGCGGCAGTGCTGTAGATRGCCTCAGGCTCGTGGCCATAGGTGTGGATGGGTCAGCCAAAATGATCTTGATC